ATAGCTGCTGGATTCCTTAAGTAAATGGGCACAATTTTACTTTAATCCCATCTTCACACTGTTTGATGTGTTTTACACACGTCACTACGTGAGAGGGAAAGGGCAATGATTAAAGTGAAAATGTTCCAGTAAATGCATCACACATACGAATTGAAGAACAACAAATCATTGATGTAGAGATTGATGAGTGCTTAATATTAATTCATCAATCTTTGTACTCGATATTAATGGTTATTTTTAAGTTTTATTCCGCAACGTCGAGCTGATTTTGACATAGAAAATATTTTTTTTATGAGTGAAATCTGGTCTCCAGTTTTATTCCTTTGTAATCATCTCCTGCATTTTAACTAGTAGCATAAATATGATCATTCTTATGATTGAATGTGAATAGTTTTTCATCGATAAAAAGAATTTTGTCACGATATTCTTCTCGAAAATAAAACTCAGTATTCAATTTTTTAAGAAATTCCCCGTTTTTAATAATCATCATCGACGTTTCTGATTAACCAAGAATGATAGTATAAAGAATTTTCATGACAAAAAAAACGTTCCAGTTATACCTTCTTGATCTACTTGTATTGATTGAATTGCATGAGAATTTCAACGAGACAAAAAAAGTTGATCGAGTATCGATTTATTCTCGGGCTTGCGAAACCGAAGTTCCGCGTCCACATGCTTCAGGCTCAAGAGGAAATGTAATGTTGATTAAACCCGAGAACGCGGCTCGACCGTTTACCTTTCTTATTTTATACTATATTATTTTGTTCTACATTGAAGTTATGTAATACATATTTTGTTTTTTTCTTTCTTTTAAGAAAAAATATATCATGGTTGACATTGATGATTCATCAATGTAAAAAAAAAATCATAGGTTCTTCTTCAATATATCTGTTTTCGTCTTCGAGTGATCTTTTCCTTGTATTTTTTTTTCAGTTTAACATATATTAATATAGAGCGACTATTAATTTGACTGGAATAAAAAAAAAACAATAATTAAATGAAAAGTTTGTTAAACAAGATGTATTTTCAATGTATACCTTACTTTTACTGACCTATAATTAGTATTAAGCCTCAATTAAATCATATAGATACAAGTTATCGGATACGTTAAGAAAATGTATCACAGATAGGAATTGAAGAAAAACAAAATCATCGAGCAAGAAACTTATGAGTGTGTCTAACTAATCGACCTTCTTGCTTGCTATTTTTGATCATGTTTAAGTTTTTTTTTTTGAGAACGCGTAACTAATTTGTTCAAACACAATATTAGTTTTCATTTGATTAGCTTCTTTTTTTTGAACAAAAAAAAAACAGACAACATATTCTTAAAAACAATTTTAGAGTCTGGAAGCAAACAGGAAAATACTCCTGTTTGTCTGTTTTATGAATAAAATCTGATCTTGAGTTTTATTCCTTTATATTCATCTACTTCATATTAACTATTAGAATAAATATGATCCTTCTAATGATTGAACATTTCATTTTAAAATAAATAGTTTATCATTGATAAAATGAATTTCTCGTAATATTGTCGTCGAAACAACTTTAGTATACAATTTTTAAGACATATTCTTCATTTTTACTAATCATCATCGAGATTTTACATAAAATTAAAATAATCGTATCAAAAAGTGTCATTAAAACAAAAGGTTTTGATTGAACCTTTGTAATTTTCTTTCATGGATTCAATTGCGGTAATAGTTTTGATTTTTGACACTCGATATAAATCAAGAGAATTTCAACGAGAAAAAAAAAGTTGATCGAATATCGATTTATTCTCGGGCTTGCGAAACCGAAGTTCCGCATCCACATGCTTCAGGCTCAAGAGGAAATGTAATTTTGATTAAACCCGAGAACGCGGCTCGACCGTTTACCTTTCTTATTTTATACTATATATTTTGTTCTACATTGAAGTTATGCAATACATATTCTGTGTTTTTTCGTTCTCTAATGTAAAATTATGCCGTGGTTGACATTGATGACTCATCAGCCTACAAAAAAATTCATAGTTGGTTGTATATATGTATCGTCGTATTAGACTGTTTGTTTTTTAGTTTCACAACACATTAATATGAAACAATTTGGTTTTGACTGTAATAGAAAAAAAGAAGAAGAATTGAAGAAAGAATTTGTTGAACAAGATTGATTTACAATTTTTTTCTGTAACCTTAACCGCTCAAAAAAGAATTCAAATGTGTGGTTTTTACAAAAAAATTGTTTTCAATAAAAATTTACGAATGGGAAATAGCAGCGGCGGCTTCAGTCTTGAAGTCTTTAAGGTATAGGTTTTATGAACAACAATCTAAAAGGAATATTGTACTTTAGGGTAAAAATGAGAATTCCATCTGACTGGTATTTTTCACAGAGTTTTAAGAGACATAAGACATGATTAATAATATATATTTGACAGGCACTCTTAATCACGACTCTCCTTCATCACACATTGCGTATGAGCATTTTCTTATTACATTTTTGAAAAATTAGGTAAAAGGATAGTGAAGACATGTATTCCAAAATAAATAGAATAAAACAATCTTCTTGTGATTAGCAACAGCAGTAACATCGTGTTTCACATTTGAATTCAAGAGGGACTGCACTGCCGGTTTGAAGTAGACATTGAAGTCACATGTAGTCTTCCGAAGTCATCTGAAAGGTTGAGGAGTCTTATGGAGTCTTTGTATTTGGTATGTCTTAAAGCCTCGAAGTCTACTGTTTTCCATCGAGAACACGCAGAAATAAAAATGACTCCCACTTTTTCAAAAACAAATTGTTTAGAAAATCGAAACTCTTGCTTTTCAGCTGTTTTAATGCGCAAATATATTATTGGTCAGACTTTAGAAAACAATCGGACAAAAACATTTTTCAGAGACAAGAACATGATTGAAGACTCGAAAATGAATGTTGCATAGAAAATACTTTCAAAACAAAAAAGATTAAGTGCTTCCGTAAGATATTTGTATCTCATTCAAAAATAGTTGTAGCAAACTCGCAGACATCTCATATGATAGATAATTGTTTCCTCTGCCGTTTCGTTCAGTCTGAACAATATTATTTGCTTGTATGTTTCGAGTGCTGAAAAATTAAGATTTCGATTTTCACCGAATATCTGTATCAGGAAGTCTGGTAATCGTTTTTAATTTCTTATTTTTTATTCTATACAGTTTTCTCTATTCGAATCACAATTTCAATTGTTTGTCGTATTAAAGATTCCACAAAAAAGTTGAAGATGAATCTTATTGAACAAATTCGGTAGCTATTGTATCGTAAAAACAAAATGATAGTTGATGGAAATCGTCGAAAAGTGATCGATATCTTTGAATACTTGTAGTCATTAGCCTTGAAATTTTCTTCAATGAGTGTCTTGCTTTAATCAAGTATTGTTTGAAAATTTCACAATAAGAGATCGATGCTGAGACTGTCGCACACAATGGAAATCTTCTTCCGTGCCTCATGATTACAGCAGATTGGAGTACCCTATTTGTGACACGATATAGACATGCAAATATTTATTTTTTGATAGAAAAATGGAAAACTAAACAAGTATCAAAAAAGGTATTTTGAACTCTAAGAAAAAAAAAAACAGTATTTTCATCAAAAATTCTTTGCATGAAGGCCCCCCCCCCCGCCAAAATAAAACT